TCCCCCTCTGACACAATGTCTGAGCTTGCACTTCCCCAGGATATGACCACAGCTCTATTTTACAGAGCAGGACCAAGACTGGGGCAATGAAGGTGGTCTGACACATCCAGGCAGCAGCAAAGGTGGCTGCATGCACTGCTGGCACACAACGATGAGCAATCAGAGAGGAAAAGCTCTTTGGATGAGACAACGTAGAACTGTCTTGGAAGTCTGCTGTAACACCATTGCTTTTTTGATTCTGGATCAAAAAAGAGAAATGTCAGTCTGACCCATATGCTAGTATTCACGCCGAACCCCTAAAGACCTGTATACGTGCTGGAAGAAATGCACATATGGTGTCTTCATTCATTGCAGTGCTGATAGGCAGCAGAACTGTCTCGGGAAAGAATTGGGGCTGAGAAGATATTTTTAGTAAGAGAAACGACACTGATCTGTGAAAGGAAATAACCATCAAATCTTTTTTTGCTATGTCAAGGTTACTGTTAACTTAATAATCATTTTCATTTACACTAGTGCAAAGTCATTAATGAGATAAGAGTGTTATTATCCTTTTAATGCTACGTATTTATTAAGAGCATGTACAGTTAAAATTGGTAGTATAACAATGCACTGTAAAGTAGAATGCAATGAATCCCTAAGGAAGAATAATAAAGATTTCTGGCTCTTTTTATTCCTCCCAACAACTCTGCAGTATAAAAAAAGCAAGATAACAATGAAGGCTTGAACTCACTTATCAGAATTTGCAAGTGCTCCACGTGTTTATCCTCAGTGAGAGCGGGAGGCATCCATTTCTAGCAGATGATTAGGGTTTGCTGCTTTAGCAAGAAACGGCCGTGCTGTTTTTATTTAATTAAACCACTGCTGTCAATTATGACCTGCAAGCGACAGAGAAGTACTGATGCTGAACTTCATGGAGCACCATGCAGTCACCAGGGCATTGCAAACTCACTCTGTGCACATCTCTTGGAGGTGGGAGGTGTGAAGCAGGATCAACTCTCCATCTTCCAACGTCTTTCAAGGAAATAAAAGTAATACACAGCCAAGATGACGGCACTGACAAAGACATCGCTGTTTGCATCCCAAGCTGCAACATTTGCTTTCCTCTCCAATGCTTTTTGTTTGTCTGTCATTTCCTGTTGACTCAGCAAGTGCTTCCTGTAGCAGGATGCTGCCAGCAATGGGGACTCCCTCCTACTGCTGGTGAGGGGCCCAGGCACAGCCTTGCAGCCACCCCTTCCTCATTCCCCTTCCTGCAACCTCTCCCCATTGGTTCTGCACCCAGTGCTTGTTTTGATCCCTGCACTTCTCTATTTCTGCAGTAGCCAGCCATGTACTCAGCTGTTTCCCCTACAGCTCACAGCAACAGAAAGGTTTGACATTCCCAACACAAAGGGACACAAACAGTCACAGTGTCCCCACCACATGGTTGGAGACTTCCTACTGCCTGTTCTGGTTTCCTTTCCTACTGGTCACAGCTCAGCTGGGGCTCCTGGCACTTTCTGCTGTGGGACAGATGAAAAAAGTGACTTCTAGCCAATTTTTCAGGCAAACACCATTTTGCTCCTCCTGCAACTTTGGGCTGGAACTGAGGAGTGCAGCTTGGTTATCAGCTGCTTCAGATGACCCTTCTCTTCTTCAAAGTCTCCACAAAAAGCGTTAAGGACAACAATAACTGGCCTTATTTGGTCTTAATATGGGGTTAGCAGATTTAGATGCAATCTTTTTATTGGTGATGGGGTCACCATCGCTGGAGGTTTTCAGGACAAAGGCAGATGTCACATTGAGTGACATGGTTTAGCAGTATGTTGGGGATGGGCTGATAGTTGGACTAGATGACCTTAGTGGTCCTTCAATCCTTAATAATTCTATGATTCTCTGACAAAAGTGGCTGAATTCTTTGGAAGATGCAACCAGAGAAGCCCCACTGACCAGTCTCTTTTTTTGGAGTGCAATTTCTCTGTAGGGAACTCTTTCCAGGGGGGTTGAAAGATTTGTCCTAGGGCTGCAATTGAAATGGGACACAGCACCAAGCCAACATTTCAATCACGACTTCATTTTCAGCACTTCAGTTCATACTATTTTCACATGTACCTTAAAAACAGTGATCCAGTAAATAGTTTCTAAATTATACTAATGTTTCTTTTAGGATTCTGAGTAGCTTTCTGATTTTTTTTCCCCATTTCAGGTACTATGCTCATTTTGTATCTGAGATGTTACTTAGAATAATAATAATAATAATATGAACACAAGAAAACAGAGGTGAAAGAGCTAAAATTGCACAATTATTTTGTACCCCAGATGCCTTTACCTTTTCCTGACTTTTCGAATTTTCTCATCTCTTCGTATTACGGATTTAGCTTTCATCCATCTAGTAGAATCAACAATCTTTTGTATAAGTTCTTTTCAGGGTAAGCCATTTTTGTGATAAGAACTGAAATGGAATGAAGAGAAGATTTGGATTATATTTCTGTGTGCCTGGACTATTGATCTGCTAGTCCAGGAAATGAAAAGTATAATGAAATGAGCGTTATTTATAAATTTGGCCTGGAGAGGGGGTCGGGATGAAGCCAAACACAGGCCAGTAATATGATTCTGCTGGAACTCCAGCCATCTCAGAAAATCAAGTTCAGCTGTCAGTAGGACATAAGTTTTGCTTCTGGAACCACAGGGGACCAGGTTTTCTTTGTAATTTACATCTCTGGGGTTACATACATGGTGTAGAGAGGTGGTCACAGAATCACAGGATGGCTTGGATTGGAAGGGACCTCAAGAATCTCAAAGCTCCAACCTGCCATGCCACATGCAGGGCCACCCACCTCCACATTTAATAGTAGACCAGGCTGCCCAGGGCCCCATCCAATCTGGCCTTGAACATCTCCAGGGACGGGCATCCACAACCTCTCTGGGCAGCTGTTCCAGCACCTCACCACTCTCTCTGTGAAGAACTTCCCCTTGACCTCCAACCTAAATCTTCCCTCTTTCAACTTAAAACCATTTCCACTTGTCCTGCTGTTATCTACGCTTTCAAAGAATTGAAAGAATGGTGCTGCATTCTGGCTTGCAAGGGTCAATTCTTGCCTTGCACACATTCCAAAATCCAGTTTTGATTCCTGTTATTCGACCAGGCCCTTTCCCTCAAGGAAGGTGGAGATGGTGGTATAAATCATGAGGCAGATTGGTCTGAGGGAAATCAGTAATTCTTATCTTCCAAGTCCGCCTCCTCTCATCAATATAACTTTGTGCCATAGGTCTTCAAGGTCTGCTGTACTTCCCCTGTGCATTGAGCCATCCCCACAGTCTAGCCAATGGTTATTTTTATTGCGCACTCTGACAGAACGGAACTGTGCAAGAACCATCCATTTTTAACCTCAGGAAGCTCTTCATTAAGCAACAAATAACTCTCAGCCCCTACTTGGTGTTTATCACACAACATGCCTGCCTGCCTTCCTCCTTTCCCAGCCCGGTGTGGCAGTTCCGCTCAGCTGACAGAACCAATGCATGCCTAATAACTGTAAATTACATTATGCCTTCTGATCCTCTGACTTCAGTATGGAAAAAACAGCAGCATTTTTATCCTCAGTGAATATAGATCAAAATCTTCTGCTATCTCACCAGTATTTTCAGATGTTACTGAGCTGTACACCACAGGACCAGTTCCCAATACTACCATGAAGAAATAGTTTTATGGCTCCAACACCACCACCTTTGCTAATGGCATTTCCACACCAGAAGGTGCTGACCAAAATAACAAGCAGTACTTTCTGCTAGCACTCGTGCTTTGCTCCTGGCTGTGTCCCACCAGGGTGCCCAGTGGCCATGGTGCCCTGAGCCTTGGGGACCTTCACTTGGGAGCCCCCAGTCCCTTCACAAATCCTTCCTGCCCCTGAGGCAAGTGATTTCCCAACTCTCTGAAACGTGCATTATTAATTTTCAAGACACACAGTGTCTAAAAGCCAACCACCACACTGGGAAGCATGTCATAAAACAAATATTCCTTTCCTGCTGAAATGCATTATTAAAGCCTCTACGCCATAAATCCCAAGTAGATAACACTCTCCATGGCACCTTGTAAAATAAGCAATTTTCTGCTACCAAGGAAACAAATTCTTTTTCTCAGTCATATCTAAACTCCACCAACATGGTGACAGACATAACATTGCTTCTGAGTTTGTTTCTGACAGCCTCATACATTTTTAACTCAGTCAGCAAGAATAAATGCATGAAGCTTTTCACTTAAAAGAGTTCTGGAGCAAAATAGACTTTCTGGGACCTGGATCACCCTTGTCTATACCAGACTTTATTCCCTAACATTTCCCCCCATTTCTACTATTGCTTCATTGCAACAGAAGGTATAACTTGAGCTGAGATCAGAAGTTTGCAAATCTGAGAGCTGCCTTTTGCAGGAGGCAGTGAGGATAGGATTAGAAAGATACATAAACAGCTCAGACTCCAAGAAATAGGCTTTTTCACTGATAGAACACATCAGCACAAAGGTGACAGTGTAGTATATCCTGTGGTAGACAGCGTTGGGGCAGAAAGAGCTTCTGCCTGCTCAGACTGTCCACACATAGGATACCATAACACAAGAGCATCTGACATCAGCAGATACAACAGTATTCTTGGAAAATTCTCACTCCACTGTTAACACGAGAAAAGTGAGCTGCAGGACACAGCCCTATATTGTGTGGCTTCCATAGCTTTTACTAGTAAAGGTGTGGAACAGGACCAGAATAAGTGCAGTTTTATAGCAACAATTCGAAATAACACATCAATTCTTACTACATCTGCTAAGTTCCTAATGAAACTGACACTATTTTGATTTGATAAGCTGCTAGCTTTGTTGTTTCTTCTTTTCTTTTTTCAACAGCACCACAATAGTGTTTCTTGATTATAATTGCATCAGCAAATGCTAACTTTTTGTTTTATTTTGGAATAAAAAAGAAATGAAGAAATTCCAATATTTGCCTACAAAGTGAAGCTGCAGGCAGGGAAACGGTCTGAGCAGTTTGGTTTCAAGCACAGAGGATTTATCAAAGATGGAACAGAGTCAAAAGGGTGGGAAGAATTCAGTGACAGGATCACACCTTAGCATCATACACATATCTTTTACTCCCTAGCAACTCAAAAAGAAGTTATCTGCAGGTTACCATAAACACCTTATGAACATTGGTGTGCTATCTACAAAAGAATGCCAGGCAGGGCTGTGTTTCCACCCCTGGAGCAGTCAGTTCCAGATGTACCCCTCTCAAAGAAGGCAAGTTGGCACTATCAGTTGTAGCATAGTGCTTGGCTGCCCTCAGCTCCAGTTTGTATTGAACTTCTAGTACATCTGATACCACAGCACTTAGCAGTGCCATGACTCCATTCAGACCACAATAGTCCACTGACAGCCTCCAACCTCCCTTGGGCTGGCCATACAGGACTACTGAAGAGTCTTAATCATTACTTCTTGGTTCTACAGTTGAAGAACCAGTTGCCTCCCATTGACAGGGTGATGCCATAAAGCTTATCAACCCTGTCATCAAAAGAGAATCTTCATCACTGGGTCTGAAGAAGCACATGAGGGACTGTGGTACCACAGAGAGGGGAAGGACACTGTCCAAGTAGCTAGAGCAAGGCAGTGAAGCATGCTAGGTCTCAGGACTGACCTCTCTCTAGTGCTGTTTTTCCTCTGATAAAACTTGTAACAGTCTACTTCCCTTCTCACTGGGGATGAAGAAACCCAGACCCTATGCTCTTGAGAAAGGGCCACAGTGTCACTCAGTCCTGCTATGAAAACCAATTAAAATTCCTTCATCGAAAAACTAATTTTTTTTATTTTTATTTTTTTTCCAAAGAGAGCTATTATAAATAATAGCAAGGGAAAACAAAGTATTCAATTTGTCCAAATGCTTTGACAACGCCGCGTTTCATCCTTGCATAAATATTGCTCCTGTAACATGGCCAAGGAATGGCCTTGAGCGTCCGCAGTGCAAAACACAGATCTGCTCCCATCCAAGTCCATGAGACCTCTATATAACTCGTGTTTATGGCTGGCATTCCAGCTCTTGGAAAACAGTCCAGCAGCACTTCCTGACAGGGAAACCAAACTGCCATGTCCCAAACTCCTCTGTAGCATTTCAAGAGTGGCCAAGGCTTTTTTGCAGGGAGAAGTACTTTCTGCACACAAACTAACAAAGCTGGAGAGAGAGGACAAGCTTTTCAAATAAGCCATTCCTTTCAGTGCGTCTGGCCTTGCGTGCCTGGATGCTTATCTGTTGTCTTACGCTGATCCTACATAAGATAAACTTTCTGCTCCTAAAAGCTATTGCCTCACTTGAACCCTAGATGATCATGCTTGAAATACCACGGCTGAGAGAAAAAGAAGGGAATCTGTTTAAACAAAGAGAGTAACTTTATACAAAATTATGGGAAATACAATGGCTCTACTGCATCACCTGGCTGTAGTCTTCACTTCAGATTCTCCAGCCTGCATGCGAGTGATGGTGAAGTGTTGGAACAGGGCACCCAGGGAGGTGGTTGGGTCACCATCCCAGGAGGTGCCCAAGAAGAGGGCAGATGTCCCATTGAGTGACATGGTTTAGTGCATGGTGGTGATGGGTCAATGGTTCTTAGCAGTCTTTCCAATCTTAACGATTCTCTGATGGAGGGAAACTCCAGGAAATGTCCAATAAGAAGTGGTATCCATAAGGAGGTGCCTCAGCTTTGAAGTTTCCATGGGAGCTTTGATTTCTGTGTCTCACTTGATATGATCTCTGGCTGCTAGGCTCAAGCCTTTCTGTGATGGTTCTAGAAACACTTTAAGTGAAGGTTCAAGCAGCACTTGTGAAAACTGATGCAAAACTAAATAAAACCCACATGGTGCTGGAAAACACAGGTTGAAGCTTGAAAACCTGCAGGCACTTAATGATTCTGCCATTTCATAACCCAAGAGTTTCAGATTAGCAGATAAAATTAGAGATGGAGTTAAAAATCTCTTTGCACTAGCTCTTTGATTTTGATGGAGTGTGGACCCAGACTAGACTTTTCATTTCAAGCCAGTGCTTAGTTACCATGTTAACTCTAATCTAAAGTTTGGGAAGTCACCCACAGGAAGAGCTGCCAAAGAGCTACCTTACTTCCCAAGTGGAGCTTCTTCTTTCTACACACCCACAGACTAAGAGGAAAACCTCCGATAAAGCACAGATATCTTGTAGCTGAGATTCTTGAGCGTGCACTGCATAACTTAGACAGTTCTCCAGCTTGTTTCTGCTTTAGAAGGGTGCATGCAGGCTGTTCATCATACCTATAGATATCTGCAGATGGTTTTGTGCTCGTAAACTCCTGAATATAGGAAGCTTCTGAACATGCCTGCTTGATACCAAGGAAAATGCTGGGAGCACTATCTGCCGAGGGATGTGTAGAAGTTCTGTTATAGCCAATGCTGTTAATATGTCTGAGAAATAAATTAATAGATATTTTAATGAGCAAAGTTGACATTACTGCATCTTCCTGCATAGAAAAGTCTGCAGGCGTATAACACTTATTTTTCAAATCCCCGTTGTCCAGCTATAGGAAGAAAAAATTCACATACTTACAGCTCACTATAATGCCAGGTATACAACTCCTGACTTATTTAGAAATTCTGGTAATCAAACCTACATCAGAGAGATAGATAAAGGGAAAGGGAGAGAGAGAGAGCTATTCATAGCCATAACCCACAGGAAACATGTGCTTGCAAGAGAAGATTTAATCTTAAAAGACATGGTAGTTAAAATGCCCACCTACTTCTTTGATTTCACGTGCAACCCAGCCTCACTGGTGTGTGCCATGTCATTCCAAAGAATTGCTTCCCAAAAGCCAAAGAGGAGGATTTCATAGCTGCTATTCTTGAACTGGCTTCCTATTGTAGTCCCTGTTTTCCGCAGGAGCCGGAGAGTGAACACAGGTCTCCATTGCACAATTGCTTCCGTGATTCATGCGTATAATTTTCTGATGTCAACTATAGTTCAAGGAAATAAGAAAATTGAAATTGTCTGGTTAAAGGAGTTAACTTTTCTCAGGTTAAAGCAATCTGCAAGTAATGTCACTGTATGAATTAAAAGGCTCTTATCCATATACAATAGGCTAAGGCAAGAGGATAAAAACCAGCATGAGCTCTGAATCCTGTATCTAAGCAGTTCTGTGTCTCACCAGTGGCTTTTCTATTTAGCTTTACTCCTCACCATTCCCTGTGGGCAGATGCATCACCACTGACCACTTAAAATTAGCACTCGTGGAGGAAAGAGGTGACAGAAAATGCAGAAGTCTCATAACAGAAGTTGTGAAATTGAAGCTTGTCCTTATTCTAGCACTGGAGCCAGGCAGAAAGATGGTATGATTAATGAAAGACACAGCCTGATTACTTGCTACTTCAGGATCCTTTTCAAAAGTTCACATGGGTTGCAAATGGTCACTGTTCTACCCTTCCAAGATTTAACCATGTTTACCACCCCAAGGTCTTCCTCTCAGTCATTTATTGCTTTCTGGACAACACTAAACAAAATATTTTGGAAAGAACTGAAATTATTGGCAACACAAATGGGGAAAAAAAAAAAAAAATGGAAACAGAGCCTGAACTTCAGGTGCTTGGACACTGATATTTTATTTCTGAGTGTGTGAGGAACAGAGGCATGGACATTGCTAAGACTGTCTACACTAGAGAGAGGTATAGGATTTTCTTCTGCCCTGTATGAGTGTGCCTACCTTAGCAAAACCTCAAGCTCTGCTCCACAGATGAGCCCACTACTATACATCTGACATCTCTGCCATTAAAAGCATTTGCTGGTAAAAGCTAGCAAATGAGCCAATGAGCTTTAAGTGTGGACGAGCTCCAAGTTATTGATAGGCATCACTAGATCCAACCACTGGATCTAGTCTAATTATTCTGTTCTTCAAGGTCAGGAAATGGTGAAACAGTGGAACTGTTGCAGAAAAGCATGTTTTATATAATGCTCCTCTCAGCTGTGAACCAAGAACTCTGAGAGTAGCCTGGAGGAGATCAGTGTCTTTCATCCACTTCCAAGAAAGTCTGGAAACACTCACACTTAAGCTTGCTAAGTATGCTCTAACCTTTCCTCCTTTTTCATTCCATTGCTGTGGTCTCTCCACATGCAACTCCTTCCTGTTTATTAGTTTGCTTTCTTGTATTAAGAGATGAGAATTGCTGAGATGCTTCCCTCAGTCTCTCATGGAGTTGCTATGAGCAGGAGTACATTGCTCTGAACTTCAACTTGCTTCACAATTTCTCAATAGATGTGAAATCCTCTGATGTCACCTTTACTGCCTATACCTGCTGCCCTGTGAGCAGGATCCTCACTTCACTTGCTTCTCTTCTCTGGTATTTGCTGTCTTCAAACATTTTAATGAAAAGGTGCTTAATCTTAATAAAGCCATGAATTGCTAAGTCCATAGGTTTATAACTGGAAAACAGGAAGACAGGGAAGAGAAGATTTCACTTTATGAGAAGTACCTGAGCAGGGTAGGACCCAGTGCTGAGCTGGTACTGCAGCTCCATCCCATCACCACAGCTGGCCAGACTCCACACAACACACCAAAGAGAATCCATCCTCAGGTAGCATCTCCCCACCAGGCTAGCAGAAGTAAAATTTAATTAAAGGATGACAGCTTATTTGATTGCTGAGCTGTAACTGGATGTGTAAGAGGTGCATCACTTTGCATTTTGAGTTACCAACTTTTATAGAGCCGCTGCTCCTGGTTAAGCAGCTTATAAGCACACTGGCATTATTATTGTCAATGCATTTCAATTCCACTCACAACATTTTCTGCACATTTATGCACAGACAGGGACACTGCCCTGAAGCACTCTTCACAGGAGAAGGGCACAGGAAGCCAAAATGGTGACAGGCAGAAGGAGAAAGTTTTTCCCTAGGAAACCAAGCAAAAAGTGATCATGTCATATACCCTGTAATTAGCAGCACTGGGGTGTGCTTGTTGTTTCTGCAGGCTGGATTTGTCCAGCAGCTGGGAAAGTAAAAGCTCACAACAGGAATTATAGAATCATTGAGGTTGGAAAAGACTATTAAGATCACCAACTCCAACCCATCCCACCAAGCCCACTGACCACATCCCTCAGTACCACATCTCCACAGTTCCTGAACACCTCCAGGGAGGGGGGGGACCCTGCCACCTCCCTGTGTGGCCTGTTCTAAGCATTACCACTCTGAGAAGAAATTGTTCCTGATATCCAAACTGAAGGACAGGAGAACCCGCTCTGATGCTGCTCAGCTGCCCATTGGCAGTGCCTGCATGAGGCAGCTGAATCCCAAAGGAAGAAAATGAAGGGTACCCACTTTGGGCAGCTCCAGCACTCAGCTTCTTTTGGTGCCAGGGGCATCGAGTCCTTTGTTTGCCATGGGAAGCCCCAAGAGCTGGATGTGTCTATGGGAAACTGTGCTTGCTATGGAAAACCAAAAGCCAGGAGGGGCCAATCTCCTGCTGCTACCCAAGCACCTCCAAGGCCACCCTGGGCAGTAGGATTTGGCTTTGAGCAGAGCTGGGCTCTCCAACAGCAAGCCAGCCTATAATTAAAGACCTGCCATTTTCTACTTTCCTACACATAAAACATCTGTAAGCATAATTATAGTGCACCATTTAAACAGCTTAATACGAGGCAGGCGCTCTTCTTTGCTGAGAGATGCCTTTTAGCAGCCTGTTGTACAGTTGGATTTACAGATAAGGCCAGAAGTGCACCTAATTATCTCTCTGCTGGCAGCTGCTATACTTAAACTTACATTTTCATAGCAACACGTGGGGCTTTTTGTTCTGCCTCATGATGACTCCTATTCCCTATTAATGCTTAATTCTCCATGCACCAATTTAAAAAGTAGGGATACAGACCTGAGCCAGGGCTCCCACTAGCCAATTAACTGCAAATGACATGAGGGAGCCTGGTGCCTTGTCCTTACACATTCCCACCTCATTACTTTGAACGGTGCTGATGGCACTCTTTGTTAGCTGAGAAGGATGTTTAATATCTCTGTAGCAGATTTTTACTGAAAAACACACTGCTTGCACAGATCATGATATCTGTAGTGTAGTAAAGGGTACTGGGAAGGAGAATGAGTACAGTTCATGGCCAGAGCTCAGCTCACAATTCTACAGCCTTCAGCATCTCAGCCATGCCTTTCCTGAAGTGAGGGAACCAATGTTTCTCAGGATAAGAGACTGTTTTTAATCTCAAATTGAAAGATCAGACAGATCATAGACTCATAGAATGGCTTGGGTTGGAAGGGAGCTTCAAGCCCAAACAGATCCATGCCCTGCTGTGAGCTGGTTGCTCCCTACCAGCTCAGTTTGCCCAAGGCCCATCCACAGCCTTGGGCACCTCCAGAGTTAAGGCACCCACAGCTTCTCTGTTCCAGCACCTCATCACGAAATATATGGGATAAACTGGGTGATCCCATAAAGGTGGGAGGATCTGGAGTTTCTTCCTTTGCTGGAGAAGGTGCTGATCAGCACAACAGTAAAAAGCAGAACTGTGAGAGTTTCGGTCTTCACAAAGTCTGAGGGTTTTTTGTTTTTGTTTGTTTTGTTGCTTTTTTTTTGCATGGGAAACAGACAGAAAGAGAAGAGCAGCTGTCTGAATGAGAAACTGGCCAGGAATAGCAAATTTTGTGAATAAACTTCAGTCATGCAGGAAGAGGTCAAATCTGGGCTGGGGGAGAGGATTCAAAGAGAATTAAGTTTCAAGATGCTAGATGCTAATGTGCTTGAGAGTGGAGAAAGAGAAATGAAGAAATCAACGCTTGTAAAATTAAAATGAAATATTACAGAAAGCAATTGCAAAAAGCAATTGCAAGAGCAAAATGAAAACTTGCAGAGAGAGAGAGAGAGAGAGGGAGATAACAAATGAGCAGAGGAGCTAGGCTGCTCTGTGCGGCTTCTGCTCTCCTGTTTGCCTGCCAAGTGGTGACTGCTAGAGGAGCAAACATGAGCATTGCTGTTCCCCAAGCAGATGGGCACATCGCAGCACACTGCACTCAGGCAGCATAGGAGCTTTGGTTTGGATTTGTGGGGTTTTTTTTTCCCCTATCTCTCATGATAAGAACCCTCGGTAGCTGCTGGTCCCCTGGGTGACTGTGCAAGCTTCCTGTGACGAGTCCTCTCTTGCATCTACTTTCCTTCATCAGAAAAAAAATACTCATCACCATGAGATTGTGCAATTTTGTAAGCCAGCTGCCAGAAAAGCTGCTTCTGACCTGCCCACAGATGATCTCTGGAGCCATCCTTCAGGTCTCATTCAGGCTACAACATGGTGACTGTCTCATAGGTATAGAAGCATGAAATAGAATCACAGAATGGCTTGGGTTGGAAGGGACCTCAAGGATCATGAATCTCCAACCCCCCTGCCACATGCAGGGCCACCAACCTCCATATCTAATACTAGACCAGGCTGCCCAGGGCCCCATGCAACCTGGCCTTGAACACCTCCAGGGATGGATGGAGCATCCACAGCCTCTCTGGGCAGCCTCCAGCACCTCACCGCTCTCTCTGTGAAGAACTTCCACTTGATATCCAACCAAAATCTTTTCTTCCTTAACTTAAAACCATTTCCTTCATCCTCACCCATGAAAGCCTGAGGGCGTACATTCAGGATGACTTTGTTCCCTAGAATTTTGGATGTTAGAACTTGCATCCCAGTAGTCTTACTAAGAAGATTCCTGTACAGCCATGCGTGAAGTAAATACATATTTATTGAATTTCACCCAAAGATTTGGACTATCAGAAATGACACTCTCCTCCTTCCAACAGTGAAACAGTCTTAAATGCATTCTTCCAAATAGAAGAATTATACAGAGACTGTATTTTCATACCTATTGAACTGGGAAGGTTATTCATCCAATTATTTTTTGCCTGTAAGACCAGTGAAAACTAGAGAGCACATGCTACCAGAGTTATACAGATGAATGTATGCATTTTTACACAGATTCTTTCTGGAAACATATGGTTAGGAAGACAAGTTCCCAAGCAATTTGAAAGTCTGTATTAAAATAAATAACATAAATAAGATGTGCCTAATCTCTGGCTGGATTCCTATCAGACCTGAGTTCTGTTGTGGTTCAAGCCACAGGAAAAACAACAATTTTTTTTTTTTTTTTTTTTTTTTTTAAATAAGCCTACATCTTTCTCTCCTACTATAAATGGAACTAAAATATTTTTAAAATCAACTTTTCTTCTTACTAATTTATTAAATATTAATTTTCTCTGACGGTATTTTTCTGTGTCAGTTGACCCACAATAAAACAGGATATCCTGCAGGTGAGAATCCAGTTGCTGTCCCCACCTGACAATTTCAGCATAGGTCTGAACATTAAGTGGTCTGAGTCTGCCTCTGCACTGCTGCTGCCACACTGTGTGACCATACATAAGTCAATCTCCAAAACTCCTAATTGAAAAATGAAGATAGTTCCCTCCTAGCTCACAGCAAGTTATGATCTCTAACCAAATAGAGTGAAAAGATATCACTTTGAACAACAAAGAGGTACCATAAAAGAACAAATTCCATTCCTCAGACTCAGGGAAAACTCAGTATTGACCTCAATATCTAAGAAACACAGAAAGGAAATTTCTGTTTGCAAAAGCAGAGAACTGCACACATGTCAGCAGATGATATAGGCTCATAAAATGCTGATTATTTTTCAAGGATCTGAAGAGAATATCCTCCGCAGATACTTTGTGTTCCATGATTCACATTTTAAAAGGCTTATTCACAAGCCTTGAAAAGCAAATTTGGGCTACTTGCATGGCTTCATTCAGCTACATATGAAAAAAGAATTCTCATCTATCAGTCTGTCTTAGCTGCCTTTGATCCAGAAACTGCAGTGATCCATAAGGTGTGCCACCTACATGCTGCTGCAGTAGGAGCAGTGCTCCATTTTGCTTAGGAAAAGAGCTGACCTTAGATGGACTTCGCTAGTATGTGCATTGAAATCAGTTATGCATGCTTTATAAAAGGAAGCTGGAGAATAGGAACAGCTTGGGAAGAATTGCTTGAGGACTCTGACCTATCCAGGTTAATTGTGGCTGCAAGAAATATTTATGCTATTTGGCAATAGCTTATTACAAAAATCCTTCTCTGTAACTTTGACCTTATGTAGAAACTGCTCAGTAGGATATTGTATCAGGAAACAGTAATACTGAATACAAATTGCCTCTGAATTGCAGATGTTATTAGAAAGGAAATCACATCATTATATGTGATTCTACTATGAAGCAATGGATTGTGTTTCCTCAGTCAATTATCCCTCTGGGAAGCAATCATCATGGCTCACACACATGGTCACCAGTCTCACTGCCTGATGGCTGAAGGATGAGCTCCAGCACCAAAAGTACTGCCAGCATGGGGAATCATAGGATCACCAAGGTTGGAAAGGACCTCCAAGATGATCCACCTATCACCAATGTTTCCTACTGTATGGCAAAAGAAAGCAATAACTAAGCCTTCCAGCAGGATGCAAACCCCCCACAGACCAACAGCAGGTAAAAAAGAAGGAAAATTGACTCACCCCTTCCAACAACCAGCAATAGTTCAAGAAGAGCACGTCTCTATCCAAAAAGACACTACACCCTCAGCTGCTGACCCTTAAATGAGGGTGAGGAGGGAGGGATCTTTGCTCCATCTCTTGCACTCACTTAGGTGCATTGCTTGCACCTGAGCCCCCTGTGTTAGCCTGGTGCTCAATGATAGGTTCAGGCTGTGACCTGGCAATTCTGCTGCACCCACTAAACCATGTCCTTCAGTACAGCATCTAACCATTCCTTGACACCTCCAGAGTTGGTGACTCCACCACTCCCTGAGCAGCCCACCCCAGCTCCTGAGCTCCTTTTTGGAGAAGCTGTTTTTCCTCTCTTCCCATCTGAATCTCCCCTGGCAAAATATGAGGCCATAGATCCCTCTTGGCGAAAGTACAGTCATTCCCCTTCATGGTCAGTCCAGAGAGATTTCATTCATGACCACACGTTTCACGTTAGGTATTGGGAGTTATTGGATTACAGCTCTGCAGTGTGAAGGGTCAGCCACAGAGTGGACTCTGAGCAACTCTGCTTTTGTTACATGTCTGTGTAAGGATGGGTAACCAGATAATTACTACATGTGCTGGTTTCCTACCAATTTCTATTCTTGCAATTCAAAGATCTGTCTGGCTTACAGCAATATTCCAGTGCTCTTGAGAAAGCTCTTAAATAAGCCCTTTCTCTACAGTGCATCTAATATTTCCATGCAATTTTCCTTTGAGTCTGAAATGTTCTGTGGCTGTGGAGGTTTTCTTGGAAAGCTGAAGGGGAAAGTAAATTTAATTGGACTGTCTCTTAGTTACCTGACCTTTCACAGTCTGTGTACATGGGGTCTTTCCAATGCTCCAGAATCCTAATTAGCTTCTGCTGTCATAATTACCTTTTTTTCTTCCTCAATCGTCCAACAAACTCCTTGGTTGCACTGAGGACCACAAAAAAAATATTAAAAGAGTGGAGATTTTCATTCAAAGTCCAACTGCTGACTTCGTTCTAGCCCGGTATTAAAATAAAAATTTGGAAAATTAAACTCAAAAACTGAAAGCATCATAACTTTTCCATGCATATTCTTTTTATTCTTCTGGCATGGCGTGGATGTCCTATGCGCATCTTTTGTTTTTCAAAATTATTGTTATTATGGAAACAGATCAAAAGGAGAGTTTTTTAAATTCTTATCTATGCGTGCAGTCATCGTTTATCACATACTCCAATGGCCTCTGTTGTAGCCTGGGCTTAAGCTCTACAAAGGGCAAAACTCATTAATTTTTGACTTAACTGTGCCTTTTATCTTGCTAGAGTTCACAAGCTATTTATTCCTTTCTGAGATAGCTTCCTATGAGAAAGCAGGATTTTTTCCTTAGAATTTAAACTCCAGTTCCAGCTATAGACAGTTTTATTTCATATGGTAAATTGTCACAATCAAAGGCAGAATCTCTGCTGAACAGGTCGTAAAACATCTGGCTCTTTTCTTTCCATGTTTGAGTCTAATTATCTTGCTGCAGATCATGATTGCTACGTATGAAATTAAGCTTCCCAACCTCAGCCGTCTCGGAGAGTTTGGGGTTTTGTTTTTAGCCCCTTTGTAGCTATTTTCCCAAAGCCTTAAATCATGTTGAAATGGAAACAGTAAAAATATGTGCCCAAAGAGCAGTCCACATGTGCTGGCACTTTGAAACACCACCACAGGAATTTCTTGCTGTGTGTTACAAGAACTGGTCTCTTTGTGCAGAGACTGAGGGCTGCAAAGGACTCCGGTATTTCAAGGAGGAATGGAAAAGCTGCATTCAAGGGCAGAGCTTTGGAAGCAACCACTCTGCACCAAGTGATGGAGGAGTACTCATGTCAACCTGTATTCTCACACTCTTCAGATCAAAAGGGTGTAGGAATGATGTGGCTGATCTGCCACATCCATGGCCATGGTCATAGAGACTTTGAAAGAGCAGCTCTGATTCCCTGCCCTCTGTCCTCTGTGTGTCACCCACATCCAGCCCTGCAAAGTGATCCCCACAGGTCTCTCAGGTCAGATCTCAGTGTCTCTGCGGTTTGCTCCTCGTCCACAAAATGAGCACAAGCAGCGATGTGACAAGAAATATATTAGGAGTCTGTGGCACTGAGGGAGCACAGTTAAAAGAGCTATGGATAGAGTGAAGGACAAAAGGAATTATTAGAGTAGTTTTCTTTGTCAAAGTCACTCTATCATCTTTGTTAGGAGAGCTTTCTTCACGTTGGCTGTCTGTTTTGAGGACAAATGCTTTCTTTTTTTTGCTGGGTTGTTCCCAGAAAATTCAAAGAGAAAGGATTGCAAATATGCCATCCTCAGAGAGAACAGGCATTTTGCCCCCTTTCTTTTCCACAGAAAAGTGATAAAGAGTGAGCTCCAGAAATGATTCCTATACCATGTACAGAGTCTCACTCTGCTCGCAGTTTGGACCCACTGCCCAACCCCTTCCCATTCCTTCCCTGCCTGTGTGCCAGGTAATGTCCAACACACACCCATGCTGAGGAAGAAATGCACAAAAACAACAACAGTGAGTCACAGGGAACCAATCAGTCTTTCCACACAGATTAGAAAAGTCTGGAGGGACTGCTGTTGAAATAACAGCAGAAATAGGAAATAATTGTTTGGAAATAGGAATGATTTCCAAACAGCTTCATAAGGAATGTAGAAGTTGAGGTGAATTCCAGGTGTGAGTGGAGGTTCAGAACATGAGAAGGAAGGAAAGGATTGGCTCCTTGCAGGCAATCCAAGTGAGGTGGTAAATAGAGCATCAAATAGGGCTGGGATTTCCAGGTGTTGTGCTCTGCAAAACTTCTGCACCTTTTTCCAGGCACATGGAAGAGATAGTCACTATTCTAGTCAACAGATATCTAACATTTTTCTGTACTACTTGATTTGTAAATCACAAATTGTTTTGGGAACCAGAAAATACTTTCTGCCATGGAAATAAAAAATAATAGATTCTAATAAAGAGTGAAAGCAAACTTCCTTTATAAATGACAGGTGGTGCCTGGTTGTAAAGGATGAAGGGAGTCATTAATGAGTTGTTTGTTTTAATTATGTAAATGTAGTCAGTCGCTACAGAATGGATGCCCACTTATGGAGAAAGAATTATATCTTCACCACTTTAATAATATTCGCCATTTGTTTTTAAGAGCCTGAATAAGAAATGTTTTACAAGAAGAGGGAAGCTTCCAGAGGAGGTTAGGAAAACGTGAGGGTTCCACATCTTCTCTCCCCTGGTACTTCCTCCATGTCAAGTACCACTGCCAATGGCACACTTGTACAGCCAAGCTGAGAGAAGGCTTAAAAGTAATGGACAGGAAACCTACAGTATTTCAGAACACTGAGTGACAATCCAAAATGGTGTTCCTGCTGTGAAATAATTTCTAAACATGGGTGTCTTAGATTTCTAGACATGTCACTGTTAGAGTATAGGCCTCTAATTGAGGGTTGAATAAAAGAAACCACTGCACTCCTCACCAGTTGACAGTACAAATAACAATTTACCCCATAGCAAGGCCTTGACATCCCATGGCTGTTGTTCAAGATCTCCTTGTTGCCCACCCTTTTCTGTACTCAGTTTCATAATTTAAGCTGGTTGCAACATTAATTTCATAAAGCCATCATCATTGCTGTCACGGAGTTTCTGCTTACAAATAAAACACTGTCCTCCCATTGATTGTCCATTATCACTTCCCTTTGTTTCCCCCAAAAACACAATCTCAGCTAGTTGAGGAAGTGGTGTAAGTGGGCAGTGGTCAAGCAAAGCTGCTTTCTGTAAGGAAGAGTGTAAAGTAAAATCAGCAGGCTTACGCCTTGCAGACAGTAGCTTAACCAACTGAGCTGCTCAGGTATCATAGAGAAAGCCAGGAGATTAAAGACTAAGAAGGATAGGATACTTTCCTGTAAAAATCAGCTGGGGGAAACTATCAGAATTATTTGAATGGAAGGGTAGTTCAAGATCAAGTGGATGTATATAGGTCTTGAATACCTTTAAGGGTGGAATTGGAATGTTTCTATTCACTGCATTGAAATTCTGAAACCCTCCATCAAAATTCCATAAAGGAAGGAGGAATTTAGGATGGATCTTAGCAGATGAACAGATGGGAGTTGGTACCAGAACCAGAAGGAATCCTTAAGTTAGAAAGTAAATGCTTTGAATGGTAGTTTCCCTTGTGAGGGACTGAAAGGAGATCTGTTGAGTAGTTCTAAATGAATTTTGATCACATCATATTTATGCTATTAATTAATTCCATTTTGCTGACCTACCACTCTGAAAGACCACCAGGACTTTTTGTTGGGAAGGGGTTTTGCACGTTTTCTGCCAGATCAGCAGAGACTGAACAACACTTTGAGTGCTGTTTGTCAAATGGGCATCAAACCACAACTGCTCAGCTGTTGTGGGCATCCCAGAACACTGACATGGGCTTCGTCCTCTGTGGGTGGATCTTTAAGTCTTTTTGTACTGACCACAATGGGTTTTTTCATAAGGCCTTAAGATGTCATAGAAAGGATAATTTCCAGCCCTTCTGTACTCCAGAGGTGAAATTGCCTTCAGCAGACTACCCACTGGAAGACAAACATTTTAATTATAGCAATTTTAGGATGCATTTTATCAAAAGACTCGAATTTTCATTTGGTATCCAGGGGATTTACTATTATCTTGATTTTACAAGAAACATACAGCATTTGCAGGACCTCTGAATTTTAATTATCTGTTGCTCTACCTATAGTTGAGACTATCCCAGCACAGAACAAATCCAGAAGGAAAAGATGCAAAGGAATAGAAGAAACATAATCTTATATTAACAATAAATAAATAAATAAGAACTAACATAAAATAAAAATAAAAAGCCATTGTAGACATTATTTACTCATTTTCCTTTGGAGCTATGTTTGGAGCTCTACCACCACGCTCATGAATTTGAGGAGAGGATTTGCCAAATCTGAAATGAATTCCAGGCCTGAGATAATGAAAAAAGTTGCAAGGATCATTTGCTTGCAAAAAAATAGTGTCCAAAATGCTGTTTAGAATAATTTGTTTTAAAAAAGCCACAGAGAAGTTGGACCTG